CGTACTTAATTCTCCAGCATGGCTGAGAGTCAAAGAGAATAATGCGACCGAAAAAAAAGGCTCGCGGGCCAACGCCAGCTTGTTCTTTTTTGAACTCTTAATAATTTTTTAAAATAGGTAAGTTTTTTATCACTTCTGTCAACCTTTACCGTGATAAGTGGAGTCTTCATTGTGCTTCAAGCTTTGCAGACTTGATTTTCTTGTGTGGTCACTTATTTCGCATGTCGAGTTCCCATGGTAACCATCTTTGATGCTGTTGTAAGACCGACACTTTTCATTTCTAAGACATCGTAATCCGCAACCAAATTCATCAGTATCCAGGTTTTCGATGGCGTGTCCAACTAGTTGAAAACCTAAAGAAAAAAGTGTCGCAGTATATCTTATGAACTTAAACATTTATTCAACATCAAACAAATGATGGTTGGTCGGTCCATAGTTTCTATGACATAACGTCACATTCTGTCTCTCTCTACCAGTTTCCTAAACTAACGGATAAAGAAAACTACCTTAATGGTAGATGGGTGGTTGTGTGTGTGATCGTTCGGGTGAGGTAAGTTTTGTCAAGAACTGTTGTTGGTGGCTAACGTTTCGATAACCTGAGCGGAAGTCATCTTCAGAGTCAGGTAACTAGTGTTTGTCAGTCGATGGTGTTATAAGTCTGGTCCGTTGAAAGTGATTGGTCAGTTTAGCCGTGAACGTGTTGGTAGAAAAACTGGTGTTAAGTTTGTCAGCAGCCATTGGTGGGTTTTAGTAAGTTTCGTTTCGTCTATTTTTAGTCAAACTAAGTCGGTCTGTATGAGGTCCGTCTATTGTTAGTTGCTCTGTTTGAGGTTGTTTGTCGACGTCGGTTTTATTATGTCCTGAATAAGTCGTTTGTAAGGTGCCGGTAGTTGTTAACATCTGTTCAGAGGCGTTTGTTCTAAGCTAGTGCACCAGCTTTCCAGAGTCATTTGTTGAAAATAGTTTGTACTGTAGGTTAATCACTGAGTAGAGTCCCAGTCGATTCTGTGGTTCGTCAGTTGATGACTGATGTACAGCGATGTGATGAGGGTGGCAAAGGGTTTTTGCCTGACGCGTGAGTAGTATAGGACGCTCATAGGGGCAGTAGCCAATCAGAAGGCCGTGCATATCATTAAAAAAGGCTC